AGTGGTTTCTCCACCCCATACAACATCCTCAGTGCAGGCAAGCCAACTGGCAAAGGGAAGCAGTGAAGGACGATCAGAAAGCAGATGTGGGTCCAGCCTGATGTCTCTTCATTGGTTACAGTAGATGCCCTTTACATCCATGTCTGCATCTTGAAAGAAGCCTACGCTAGTCTTCCTCTGCATCAGCCCCTGCCTCCAAGTTCCTGTCCAGTTTAAACTCTTGCCTTGGCTTCCATTAATGGACTGTGACCCATGATATCTAAGCCAAACAACCCCCTTCCTTTCCAAGTTGCTTTGGCTATGGAGTTTCATCATAGCAACAGTAAGCCTAACTAGGAGGCCTTGTCAAGTAGTGTCAAGTGTTCAGTCAAGGCCATGCTCTGAGCCTATTGGTGGTGGCAACTGGACTGCCAGTGAGCTCCTGATCCCACCGAGATTGCTGGTGTAGCTTTGGGAGAAGCTGTGTAGAGCTGAGACTGAAGACAAGGTCCTGAAGTGACTTTCCAAAAAAAGGAAGCTGCGTTCCATTTCCTTGGAAGAATTCTGATTCCTGGGGAAGCAGCTGCTTAGAAGGAGCTCAGGCCGAGGCACTACTGCTGTGTGGGTTCAGCCAACTCCTGCTCATGAAGCTCTTCTGTGGGTGGGGCTCTAATCCCCATCTCTGGTTATTATCATCAGATTCTCCTTCCCCAACCACTGTTACTACCAAGAATGCCCCAGCCATCAATGGCTGTTCCTTCTGTAAGGATTAAAAAACTCCTGGAAGAGAACCAGAGGTCTAGAAGATTCCGAGGAAGGGGCCTATAATGACCCATGGCATTGGCCATCTGTTTTGAACATTCCTAGACTTCAGCCTGGTGGTGGTAAGAACCCTGCTGGCCTTCAGGCATAAAAGTCACTGCTCCGTGTCCTAGTGACTGGGGTGACATGTGGTTGCCCTACTTCTTCTGGGTCGGCAGCTACTGCTGGAAATAGCTGATAGCCAGGAACCGAGGAGGCAGAGTACAAAGTCATAGCATTCTGATCAGGAGGGAAAGAAATCCACCCTTCCCCCTGTGGCTGGCTACCCAGGAAGCTTCTGCTTTCTCTCAAACCACATGCAGAGAAGGGAGCCTGGGTCATCCTTCTAATGAGGCCGCCTCGAGTGGTGTATGGAGCAGCCCCCTGCCCTGCAGTGGCTTACACAGGAGTGCCAGGCTTTGAGCCATGAGAGCACAGGGGCGGAAGGTTGACTAAGCAGGGGATGGTTCTCCAATGCAGGAGGCTTTGGGAGGGACTGATGGGGAGTGCTCAGGATTCATGGGAGAAAACACCTTGTATTTCTTTTTAAAAAAGAGACAGGTAATTTGTATGATACTACATCTTAACTCTATGTGAGTCCTGCCTTAGAAAAACAAAACCACAAAGGGAAAGGACGTAAGAAAGACCTGTGTGAATGTGGACACTTATTAAGGGTGTGGTCTTAGGGAGTCACAGTTCTCAGAGAATGTCAGGTATGAGGCAAGAAACACACTTTAACCCTCCCCCATTTAAAGGTGCATAAAGATCAAAGCCCAGCACTGTCCCATTACCACCACCTGCTGGTCAGATTCTAGAATTGCCAGCACAATACCCCAAAACAAAACAGCAAAGCTCAAAAACAAATACTCAAAACCAACAAATTAAAGCAAAACATAGTTCTTATCCTTGGGCCCATAGGGACAGTGTAATTTCTGGAGTCATCCTGCTCTCAAATGCAGAGTTGCTGACCCTTCTTGGATGGGGCACAGTAGAAGCCATAACAACAAAACAAAGTGCAGACAATTACCAGAGCTATACAGCATATTAAAAGAGCAAAATACTTCCACAATGGGAAAAGTACTTGAAAATTAGCAAAACTCAAGTACTTCCATATCAGGACTCACTGTGTTATAACAACCGCAGGTCCTGGCAGGAAGGCAAATAATAGGAGCCCACACACAGGACTCCCATGCCCCCGACCCACTCATGCAGGTTCACAGGTACAAGTACACGCACACAGTCGTCAGATATGACTTCCCCACAGAAACATAAAAGACCAAATGGTGTTTGTGCTTAACACCGCCACAGCTGCAAAAGCCAGGGAGCCTGAAGGGAGCGGCAGAGCACTGAAGAGTCATATGAAGAAATGTATTCACCATGGCAGCCAGTCATTGAGGCAGAAGATAAACTGTTGGACTGAAGCAATCTGTGAAAGGGTGGAGCTATCAGGACAACCCGACAGCTGGAGGGGGTGGGGGTTTGAGAGTACTGCTGCTATAGTAACAGCCACAGCCGAGGCCACCGGGAGGCTGGCACTTGCAAGGGATGGTGTGGGTATGAGTGTTGGTTGTGGGGGAGTGGCAGACTGGGCCAGACACTCCAGAACACTGGAAGACTAATGCAGGTAGGTGTGTGTGTGTGTGTGTGTGTGTGTGTGTGTGTGTATGTGTATGTGTATGTGTATGTGACTGGCTCTTGCCCTTGGCATGGAGGTGATGCATCTAAAACAAACACTTTGCCTTGAGGTATGCTATGACAACCAAGCTTGCTATAGATGGCCCTCCAGGGCCCCCTGCTCGAAGCAGGAATGCTCACTCCTGCCTAACACTTCCAGAGAAAATTACTCATAAGAAGATGATTACTAAAAAATAAAAAATCAAAGGCTCCCAGTAAGAGTCAAGGAACCCTCAGCCAATAGTTGTTGCAGAGATAATTGTTCTGAATCTATCAATAATGCTAAGCTCCTTTCATTGACTGCAAACACCAATTTCTTTCACCCAGGATTATAAGTTGGTGTTCTCGGGCTCACTACTGTCATTACGGTGATAAACAGTTCAGACCACAACAGGATCTGACGTGTAGATCAATTCTGGGTCCATAAAGAATCTACACAAGAGGTTCCAGGACAGGAATTTACAGCCACCAGTTTTTTATTCTCTCTTGCTGCAAAAATTACTTCTGTCAAACACTTAGGAGAGTGAGGAAAAATGTAAAAAAATTAATTTTTCATGTACTACTGGAACAGCCTTTTCCAGTGCAGAAGTCCAAGACGAATATACTCCATGTTTAAAAAATTACACAGCAGCATGTGGTACTTAGTGGAAGAGGGATCCAACCCCTGCTGCTGCTCCAAAGCCAGCAGACAGCAATTTGAAACCCTGAACAGAGCTGTCTAGATTTTTCTCTGAGGGCAGATGCTGGGCTCATGTTAGCAATGCCAAATTCTATTAGACGTTTAATTTTAAACCTCAGGTATTTAAATGTAAAGCCACACAACAGTAATAGCCATAGAGCACTGGGGCATTCCATCTCACAGAATGGGTTCCTCTTGCCTTCTCCTCTTAATTTAGCTAGTGCCTCCTGCCTCCCAGTTTTACCCACTACAAAGTTATCTATCTAATTAGGAGTGGCTCACAGCTGCCTAGAGGCAGATGCCCCAGGGGTACCTGTGTGTCAAAGGGGGAAAGATTCAAAAGTTCTCTGAAGCCTAAATCTTAATTTAGGGTGGAGGACAGGGCAGAGAAAAGAGACTTCTGGTGCTGGGCCAGAAGATAAGCCCTTCACAGTGCAGGTGGACATAAATCCTAAAGCTTCAGGCTCTGTCTGCATGGCTGCCACTGGGCTAGCTGCTGCCGCCCCTGACATACAGACTAGAGGTGGGCCTGTGAGTGTGTTTGTGTGTGTGTGTGTGTGGGTTAGGTGGTAGATAAAGGGATTACAAAAAGAAGGGTCTTGTGTCAACTAAGTAAGAAGAAAACTGATGAAAAGCCCTCCTCGGGCTTCTTTCTTTGGTTGCTGTCATGGACCACCACAGGGGAATGTTTGTGTGATAAAACGCCATATAATGCACTTACACACATTTTACTTATGTGTCCCATAGGACTCTGTGTTCCTGTGCTCCTTAAAGATGGTGGGAATTGGGGCTGGCCCCAGATGATCTGTGCAGTAAAGGTGGGACAGTGGGACATCTCTCTCTGTGGGAGATGGCACATGGTGCCTGCCCTAGTGTCAGGGAACACCCTGGGCTTCTGCCCTTCTAGCCAACTCCTGGGAATTGTCTGTCAGACATCCCTCTGTTCAAATCCAGGTGTCTGTTCAGATCACCTTTCCTGACCTGGCTTCTCTCTCGGTTTTGAGAAGACTTGATCGAAAACATTTGTTTGTTCTCGTCTGCTGGAGCGCTGTTTAACATACAGAAGTAAGATGGTGTTTACCCAAAGCAAGCGTCCTGCTGCAGCAGCTGGTGGGTCCACAGGGAAGACCTGACGTGGAATCTTTTAATTAGAACAAATTATGCTAAAATGACTCTCAAACCCTTGTCTGATAGATTACATACAACAGTGGGAATTCCCTTAAATACCGGTGAGCAGGCCACAGACAGAACGCCACAGGCAAAGCAAGCTGCAGCAGCCAGTACACGGGGCATGCTGCAGAATTCATGCTGCCACACAAACATCAAAGGCAGTTTCCAGGGTGCCAATCTGTCCCCTAAGAAGCAGGCTGCACTTGTCAAAAAATGTGGAAATCTAGGAGAGATGATAGAGGGGATTCCCCAGAACTTAGAAACTACACCAGGAATCCTGAAGACTGAGAGGCAGATGAATTGACTAAACAGTACAAAATACGTGCGGATGGCGATGCCAGCGATCCTGGTAGGGCGGAAGACTGGGGTGTAACATCTAACACCCCTTTTCAACTTTACTATGTCCCTGTTACATAGCCACAGTTAAGACACCTGTCCCATCTGCAGCCTCCATTTTTAGATCTGACCAGTGAAGAGGATTCAAGGCCTACACCCTGAGCAAAGAACAGATGGATGATGGCATGTAGATGAGATCAAGGACAAAGTGCTCACAGATGACTGGTGAGACATGCCTGCCACTGTCACAGCAGCCCATGGCACCATGCTCCCAGTGGAGCATGGGCACCCTGGGCATTGAACCCAGCCCCTGGCTTTCACAGAGGACCTGGAGATGGCCGCAGTTTGTGCCCCCTCTTACCACTGCTGATGGCTGAGTTTGCAATGACTGTAGCGTCACTCCACTGGTCGGCACTGGAGACTGAGTAGGAGCGCTGGTGCATGCCATCAGGTCGGCTGTTGAAGGAGACCAGGCTGATGCCGCTTGCCAGCTGAGACCCAGACGCACTAGTGACATTCCCTAGGAATAAACAAGTGAGGTGAACACCACGGCGGACTGCAGACCACAGAAGCCAGCACGACCTCATCTGTGGGGCTTCACGCTGGCACAAGTATCTGTCCCTTGCACGTCGCTGTCATCCTGCCTAGTCTGGTAAGGAAGCCTCATACAGCATGAGATCATGAGGAAGAAAAGGGCACTGTGAGCCCTAATGGTGCCTCACTGAGCGAGTGTAAAGAAAGACTGCTGGCAACTGCCCATAAATCCATTCCAAAGACAAGTAGCCCTGCTACAATCTCTGAAGACAAGAGAACCAGTGAGAACGGAACGACCCACACCACAGGACAAAAAGAGGACCATGGGAGGTTGGTCATGCCAACCTACCCACATAGGCTCATCCAGCGGGTGTCAACTGTCTGTTACCAGGGGACGCTGCTCATAGGACAACTGTCCCTTATAATCAACAGAGAGGCACCTTGGTGGAAACCCTCACTACTGACCATGTAAAGGTTCTGAAGAACAAAAAAGTCACCTGGTGGCTTCAGAGCTCATGGGGGCTGTGAAGGAAGATAGTTCTTTCATAGGCAAGATGATTTGAGTCAGTTGCTCAACATCAAAACACATGATTATCTGCTCACACCAATTTTAGACTTAAAGTCATTAGCTGCTTTTCTCTAAGGCTTAGTTAGCAAACCATGTCCACAGCTTGTGAATGGGTTTGTTAGGGAGAGACAGGTGGCTCTTTGGAGATACTGTTTTGCTTTTTGTTTGTTTTTTAAGACACGATCTTTCTACATAGCCCCAGCTGTGCAGGAAATCACTATGTAGAAGAGCTGACAGCAAACTCACAGAGACGGCGTGCATCACCAGGCCCAGCTACTGCCTCCCTAGTTTTGAACTTTCCTCAAAGTTTTGGTTCACAACTGTTTCAGGGGAATGTTTTCCTAGAGCGGCCCGTCAGTAGTGACCAAGTCTGGCCAAGCAGAGGCTTTAAAAATCAGGCTTCTGACTTTGATGGATAAGGGGTAAGGCTGAAAGAATATGAATTCTCATGCATCTGCACACGTGTGTGAACACACGCACACACATGCATACACACACCATTAACTTAGTTGTTTGGTGAGAGGCAGTACGGAGCAGAACACCACAGTGTGCTAAGTAAAGACTGCTCACTATCTGTTCCTTCGCTGTGACAGAACACCTGAAGAAGCTTGTCTGACTGACAGCTTAACGAACAGTCCACTGGTCACACTGTAACTACAGCCAGGACCCTGAGGGCCAGTGTGAGCTGGGTCCTCCAGAGTTCTTCAGCCTGGGGCTACAGATCGTGGACCGGGGCTGCTTGTACTTAGGGTTCACTCTTTATCAACTAAAACCCAGTATGCTAATGTCCTCACACGCCTAGATGATCCTATAACAGATCCTATAACAGATCCTGTAACAGAAGACGGGTTCTCTGCTGTTGTCTGAACTGAGTGTGGTTTGAATTTCAGAGGGGAAACCACCTGCGAGTCCAGACCAAAACCCAGAAGTGACAGGAAAGGGAAGAGCCAAGGACCACAGACCTTCCTGTTCAGAGTGGCATCAGGGAACAGAGCAGCAGGCTTGAGAGTGTACAGACTGCAGAGTCCCTGACAACCTGACCCTGCTTTCTGGATACTCAGGTTCCATGAGTCTGAGTGGGCCTTCAAACTCTTAACTGAGACCAGCATTCAATGTAGAATCTAGACACAACCACAACTGTAAGCAAAGCTCTGCATCCCAACAGACAGATGGGCCAGGTGCTTCAAAGTTTGTGTCTATGTGTGGGGGTGTTGGCGTGTGTGTGTGTGTGTGTGTGTGGTGTTCAAAGCCTCAGGGCCAGCCTCCCCCAGCTGTCATGTTCTGAAGGCACAGGACTGTCTTAACACCCTGGGAAGGAACAGCAATATTCTGAGGCCCATGTTCTAGGGAACAGTGCCGTGAATAACAAGAGCCTGTTCTTGCCTCACACCTCCTAGCAGCTGGAGAGGGGCTGCTGTTACCAAGGAGACACTACACACAGCTGCCAGGACTCTTCACATGCCTCTTCTGAGGCCACCCTGAAGCTGCCTCTTGGTAAACTCATTCCCATAGTGCAGAGGCAGCACCCTCCAGAGTGGTTGAGGGGCTCCCTCCACAGGGAACAGAGCTGTGGCTCTGGTAGGCTGTGGCTGCTGTGCTGTTTCTATAGCTCTGCTCTCTGCCAGGCTGTTCTGCTGGGGACCAGCTAGATGAGCAGCGCCCACTGCTCCTAGAGGAGTAGAGCAGGGAGAAGAGCAGGGCAGGGGTGTACAGGACTGAGGGCAGGGAGAGCTGGGTAGTCAGTTCTGAGGCTGTTCTCTGAGTCTGCTTTAGGCTAGCTGGCTGCTTCCCTGCTGGCATCATTCTCCCACCAGCTCTGGACCCTCCCTTTTCTTGGGTTCACTTTTCCTAGGCACCTTGATGCCATAAATCTACCCATCCAGGCTCTTATTTACAAAAAAGCCACCACCCCACCCCCGTGTCTCCCCTGATTCGCTCCCACTTCCATCCCAGGAGGTCTCTGCAGACAGAAGCTTCGGATACGGCTGCCATGATACAAGATAAGCCCTGGAAGACTACTGAGTGTGGCAGAACAGAGAGCTACAGGACTAAGGAGGCAGAGACAAGTCAACAGTGAGCTCCAGGCCAGCCTGGCCTACAAGGAGAGTTCCAGGCCAGCACAGGCTAGGGGGCTCCTTCTCAGACGAATAAAATGTATGGGGTGTGCTACATGCCTCAGGGAATGAGGGAGAGATTACTCTTTGGCCTTCAAGGTCCTCTGAGCCCATCTAGCCTTTGAGACTCATACCAATGAGTAACATGTCAATATGATTCTGCCTGCACGTTTTATGCCCACAGGCCCAAACACCATAGAAACTACAAACAAACTTGTTCATCCTCTGGTCCACCATGACAATGCTCAATGACAGCCACCGCTTCCTTTGTCCATTCTCTAGCAATGAAGCTGTGTGTCTTAGGGTTTGCAATGCTATGAAGAGACCCCATGACCAAGACAACGTACACAACATTGAACTGAGGCTAGCTTAAAGGTTTAGACCATTATTGTCAAGGCAGGAGCATGGCAGCATCCAGGCAGGCATGACGCAGGAGGGGCTGCGAGTTTTACATCTTCATCTGAAAGTTGCTAGAAGACTGGCTTCCATATGGTTAGGAGGAGGGTCTTATTGCCCACCCCCATTTCTTCCAATAAAGCCACACCACACCTCCTAATAGTGTCACTCCCTGGGCCAAGCATATTCAAACCACCACAGATGGTTAGTTTTAACTGCCATCTTGACAAATCTAGAATCACCTGAGAAGAGAGTATCAGTGAGGGGTGGCCTCATCTGTGAGGGACTGTCTTGGTTGCTTTAATTGTTGTGGTAAGGGCCAGCCTGGTCTTGGGCGGCTCCATCCCTGGCTTCGGGCCCTGGACTGTAAGGGGAGTGTATGAAGTCTGCTGAGTGGTAAGAATGGACACATTCATCTCCCTCTGCTCCTCACATGGACTCCTGCCTTGACTTCTCTGCAGTGACGAAGTGGAAGCCAGAACTGTGAGCTAAGACAAACCCTTTCTCCTTGAAGTCACCTTTTGTCACGGCATTTTATCACTTTGACAGAAATGAAGAAACTCACAGGCGTCTGAACTTTTGACACTGTCGTCAACAAAGTTTGAGAATGGGATAATCACATTATAATAAATACAAAAAAAAAAAAAACCACAAAAAGCTTTGGGACTTCATGTTCGGATATATTCATAACTATCTTCAGCCCCATGTGACCTGAAGGCTGGAAACCCTTGCTGAAGGGTGGGCCTACAGGACAACCTGCCTAACACTTCGAAAGCGACTTTCCTGATAAGTCGAGGAAAGATTCCCCAAGTCTTCATCACTGACTAGGGAAACAGGCCTTGGGGAGGGACCACAAGCACCAGAACCACAAGTCCACCTGAACTCGAAGGAGCGGCACAAACCATTCAGATGGAGATGTCTGAAGGATGAACTCAGGGTTGCCAAAGAGCTGGAAAATGAAGGCAGATTTTCTTACAATGTACATGCTATAGACCGCACAGAACGAGACTGTTCGTGCATTCCTGGCTGCGCATCTCGACTGCAAACCTCCTGCTGTTTGTCAAATGACATTTAAGCATGAGCCAGAAGTATTATGAAGCTGATGAGGCAGCTTTGGGATTGGCAGAACTCACTTTCTGAGCAGGAGAGTCCCCAGGGAGCCAAAGGGGACCTAGGTGTCCAGACGGGCCCTAGCTATCCTTTCTCCTTCGAGAAAGCAGATAAGCAGCAGTCTTCATCTACCCAGGAACCCCAGACCCCAGAGGCAAGACTAAACTGACTGAAGTTATGCAGGTAGAATTCTGAGCTGTGTGCTTTTATACCTGTGGCTTGGAGTAGTGGCCAGGAAGTGCTCACGGATAACATTTTTGCTTACGTGCAACGATTTTATAGAATTAAATTTGGAGATTTCATTTCAAAACAACTCATGGTTTGGACTAACAAGGTGTTCAGCTGACAAAGACATTTGTTCTCTGATGGCTTGAGTTTGATCCCACATAAAGAAAGGAGAGACCTGACTCCCAAGTTATCCTTTGATTATAAAAGGTCTCCAATAAATAAAAAATTAAAATTTATGGCCCTAGCATCACTTGGCCAATGGGAATGTCTGACAGCTGTGGTCCTAGCTTTGCTCCTGACACAATGAGTGGAAGCAGCATCACCTGATTTGTCTGGATTCACTGGCCTTGCTGTCTTCTCACCCCCTGCCACTGGTTCCTACTGTTTCATGACTCGGAGTTAAACAGTTTTCCAAATAAAGAGGGAAATATCCCCAGAAGCTCAATAGCTCTGATTTCCTCTGGGATTAAAGTTTTTTTTTTCATATGTACTAATTTATTGCATTTTAACATGAATTACAACTTGTACAAATTGTGACACAAAAAAATAAAAAATGTTTTCTCTGTCGGG